TTTCAAGAAGACCATCTTGTGGTATTTTAGAATTAACTAAATCTTTCTTGGAAATTAATTCTCTGAATATCAGTTCTACTTCAATGAACTGCACAATGAGAAGTGATCAAATGACTTAAGATCTCAGTGTTACCTTTAAAAGGTATTCAGGGACTAATAAATGAGGAAATAAATTCTCAATTCCTCAAATGTTTTCAGAATTGGCCAAGTAGGCAAAAAACTAAAAATCTTCAAGTACTCTTAGACATAAGTGAACACAGAAGACGACAATAATAACCTTCAGATTTCCAGACTACAACTATTTTGCCCTAAAACATTTTATGTCAGTATCCTTCCCATGAAAAGTTCATTAAAGGAGTTGAACACTGGTCATTTATATCATTTCAGTATTTATAAATCTGTCCCAGATAGGTAATGGAGCACAGAGACCAATTCATATTTTCACATAATTCAATATGCTTCTTTTTATTTCTCTGCTGAATAGAAAAAATAGTAACTCTCAGGACTGTAATCTCCTTTTTAAAATGGGCCATTAATGATTTACAAGGGTGGTTTGTTTTCTTTTTCCAAAGGAAGGGAAATAAAACTTTGCATGAGTTCTCTTCTAGACTGGCTTTTCAGAGCACGAATATGAAAAGTTATAAAAATATTGTGAATAAGTAAAACCAAGTCCAACTTCTCCCCTTGGCACCCTGGGCCCTTTATAAACTTCTATTTGCTTTTCCCATCACGTCTTTCCCCAGCATCCCCTAGCCTCTCTACTCTTAAGCTCAAGAGAACCCTTCTCCAAACCTTTCTAAACCCATATCTGAGTCATGCTCCTCTGCTTCTCAATCTATGGCACCCCTCATCCTCTGCCAAGGTCCAGATCAAATACTGCCCTTGGCTGAAGCATCCTCTCCTCCACCCAGGGATCTGTAATCGCTCTGATCTCATCTTACCATATAAAAACAATACAGCTTCTACTTCATTCTTGTTGAGTTTTTTTTTTTTTAAGATTTTTTTATTTATTTGACAGAGACACACACAGCGAGAGAGGGAACACAAGCAGGGGGAGTGGGAGAGGGAGAAGCAAGCTTCCAGCTGAGCAGGGAGCCGGATGTGGGGCTCGATCCCAGGACCCTGAGACCATGACCCGAGCCGAAGGCAGATGCTTAATGACTGAGCCACCCAGGCGCCCCTGGTTGAGTTTTAAGTGGTGGCTCTTAACATATCTGCGGCTCCAGATAGATTGCAAATTGCAAACTCCCTGACGAAGGAGCCATATATTATTTCATCGTTATATTTCTGCACAATGCCTTAAAGTAGGCTCTTGATTTTGTTAATGTATATAATAGCCCATATTTATTGAACACATGCTATGTATCAGTCTTGGTTAAGCATTTTAAGGTATCATTTCAATTAGCTTTCACAAGGACCCTGGATATAAGTACTATCATTTATCGTTCCCACTTTACAAAGGAGGAAGTAAGATCATATCATTTAAGTACCTTTCCCAATGTCACACAGTTAGTGGAACTAGGATTTGAATCGGAGTCATCAGAGTCCGTAGCTTAAACTCCTATATAAACTTCCATTTGATAGTTTCTAAATCAATTTAAATGAAATTCAAAAAAACACATAGATTTTATTTATTCACTGAAAATGAGGCTTTAAAATGGGCAGAAGGAAAAGCTCCATTTTCTTATGTATTATCTTTGCTGGCTACAGACAACTGGGATTTGACCTTTCATAAGCCAACACCTAAATTTTCTTAAAACGAGATTTTTAAAAATCCATTAATCAAAGTAAATCCATCTTCCCTTAATATCATGACACCACCCTGAGTATAAGCAGAGCACACTATTAATCATTTCACTCAGATACACAATTATGGAATGTAGAAGAAGAAACACTTGTTTTTTCTAAATTTCTTATATCCACTAAATGATAAAGAAGAGAATAAATAGGTCAACATAAGCTGTGACTACAAATCACTGAGTTAAATATCTAATAAGCTGATTGGTATATTTTTAAAATACTTTATTACTCGGATTGGTCAAATCAGTTGAATCGCTTCATGTATGCTAGCAATCACTGTGTTAATGCTTTGTCCATGTACCTATTGGTTGTGTAACAACACATCCTAGAACAATAAGAGATAAACTAATTGAGAAACATTCAACCCAAATTTTTTCTTGTCCCTTCAGCACATTCTCCACATTGTTGCTGGAGCAATCTTTCTAAAATGCAACCTTGAATGAAAAGAAGTGGACCTCATGTTTATAGCAGCCTTATTCATAATTGCCAAAACTTGGAAGCAACCAAAATATCCTTTAGGAGGTGAATGGATAAGTAAACTGTGATACACCCAGACAATGGGATGTTATTCAGTGCTAAACAGAAATGAGCTATCAAGCCACGAAAAAGAACAAAAAACAAAAACAAAAACCCAGAGGAATTTTAAGTGCATATTACTAAGTGAAGAAGCCAGACTCAAAAGATTATATGTTATATGATTCCATAGATATGATGTTCTGGAAAAGGCAAACTTAGAGGAACAGGAAACAGATCAGTGGTTGCCTGGGATGGGAGGAGAGTTGACTCCAAGGGAGCAGCCTGAGGGATCCTTGTAGGGTGCTGGAACTATTCTACATTTGTCTGTGATGGTTGGTATATGACTGTGTGCATTTGCCAAAACTCGTAGAACTGTACAACAAGAAGAGCAAATTTTACAGTATGTAAGTTTTTACAAATAAAAATTTTAAACAATTGATTTTATAAATCCATCCATGTCTCACCAGCACCGACAGGAAAGGCTCTACTTGCTCTTTTTTAAGATTTATTTACTTATTTTAGAGAAAGAGCACACAGGTGGGGGGAGCTGGGGGCGGGGCAGGGGGCAGGGAGAGGGGCAGAAGGAGAGAGAGAATCCCAAGCAGACTCCTCGCTGAACACAGAGCCCGCCATGGGGCTGGATCCCACAGCCCCTGAGATCATGACCTGAGCAGAAATCAAGAGTGGAACACTCAACCAACTGATCCACCCAGGCCCAGGCCCCAAGGCTCTGTTTGCTTTAAGCCAGCCCTCTAGGCCCCTCCTGGCATGGCCTTTCCCTCCTGTCTGGTTTCTCCTCCTTCCCCTCCTTCAGACTAGCCAAATCACGTGTGGTCTCCAAATGACCTCACTGCATCTCACCTTCCTGCTAGTGTGTGGCCCCCCAGAAATGCCCCCAGCCCCTGCCTCCTCAGACTTTTCCATCCCTGTACCACAGAATAAATACCTGAGGCTCCAATCAGGCCAAATCCCTTGCAGTTCTGCAAAATATGCAGGGCTATCTCAAGGTTCTCTGCCTTTCTGTTTGCTCTGCCTGGAATATTCTCTTTCCCTTCACCCTCTTTCCTATCAGTCTGATAAATAGTCACATATCTATTAACATTCTCTTCTAACATTACCACCTTTATGGAATTTTCCTGAAGCTTCCCCAAAACTCCAGGTATAGACCTTCTATCAGGGCATTAAACACATCTCAGGCATTTGTTTCTATATCTACTGTGAGCAGAGACCATTCCTACTCACTTTGTATCGCTATTACCTAGAATATTTCTGGCATATAATAGGTATTTGATGAATGAATGAATGAATGAATGAATGAATGAATAAAAAAACAAGTGAACCGATTAATGAGCGTATAAATCTTATCTGGAATGCCCTGCTATTCCATTTAGGAAACTCTAAATTATCCTTCACAAGAATGCTCAGCATCACCCCACTTCTGAGCAACCCGATCCAAAAACATGCTCTGTGCTTTTTTGATATTTATAAACTAGTGTGAATATCATCTTTTTACTGTACACACTTATGTAAGTAGGTAATTACACTAGACTGTGAGTTCTTCCAGGGCCTCCCTAAACCATAGATCCCCAGCATCCAGGAGACAATGCCTGACTTGAGTAGTTACTCAATAAATCTGAGCTTTGCAGATGAGTAGAATCCATGCTTTCCTCACTCTCCTCTGAATCGTGGGCCAGATGCAGGGATGCCTGTAATAGGAAGTGTGTGAGAAGAAGTTCTTTGCATAAGAAAAAGACACTAATAACCCAAGAGTAATAAATATGGGGAATTAGAAATGACCTTGAACCGTTCTTTCCCCTAGGAAAACAATCCCTGAAAGAAAGCAAGAGAGAAATGAGCAATAGTTAGGAGAAGCAAAACTGCTTATACCAAAAGAATGCTTGGAAGATAGAGCGCGAAGTGAGGGGACACACATTAGCTCTTCCCAAAGGTCAGAATTTGTTTCAGGTCTGTTGCTCAGCACCATCCCTCCCACAGCATGTCTGCAAGGCACATGGCTTCACCTCAGCCAACGTCTTCAGTGTCCCGGGAATGATTTAGAACCTGCAAGGGGGAAATGATTCCACTAATGAAGGAGTTCCAGTTCAACTTGGCCGTGGACCATTCTGAGTCCAAGCTCAGTAACACATGCTCTTCCAATCACTGAGAGAGGGAGTTTCTAAGAATTTGACCAAAACAAATATTTATGTTACAGAGGAGGAATTTGTGAATATTGAATTTTTCCAAAAGTCCCCTGCTGGAGGAGCACCCACAATTACTCGCTGAGATCATTGACTGAAGGCTGATTTTTTTTCTCTCTCTCTTTCTCTCAGAAGATAGCACTGCCTTTTGCCCTCTTGCAGCTCATTAGTTCATCGCCCAACAGGTACTACAACATTACAAGATTAACAAGATGGCTCACTCCACCATATAATCCCAGTCTGGACTCTCCCTGAATATAAGAGCCAATACTCCTGCTACTCATCATAAAATTTCCAGGAGTCATACTATTTTCGAACACCATAATTTTTATCAATCCTTTGACTTTTCCTGGGTATGTGTCTCTGTGTCTATGTTGATTCTTTCATTTCATTAAATTAGTCTTGAACCTGATAAGCAGTAACACATTGCAAATCTAAAATGTGTTAAGTTCACATGCAGGGCCAGGCTTGGGTGAGGCAGGAGAGATGCCAAGGTTTGCAAAATGTAAAGAGACACTCACTCTCAGAGAACCCACACAAAGCCTTTTCGCTGCCAGTCCTCCTTACCGGAGGCCCTGCAAAGGTAAGCCACATACCAAGGCACTGTGTGGGAAACTTCACACACGTCCTCTCAAAAAAATGCTAAGTGTTCCCTTTTCACATAACGGCCTACTTCTCAAACTCGGGTTCTAGCTCAGATGACTCCTCCTCAGAAAGAACTTTCCTGAACACCTTCTCTAAAGTGAGCATTCCTGTTGTAATCTGTCAGAGCATTCTCTTCTATTTCTTCTCTGCATTTATCAAAATGTAGAATTACATCTTGTTTACTGTCAATTTCTCATTAGAATCATCTCAGGTCAATTAGAAGAGAAGCTCTCATGTTCTTGTTCGCTATTATAGCCCCATTGCCAAACACATACTGGACACACGATAAAATATTTGTTGAATGAATAAAATTTAATGAATAGCTTTTGGAATGTTTCAATTTCAGTTGTGACCTCACTTGCCCTGTGACTTTGGATAAGTTGCTTAATTTCTCTATGGCTCATTTTTCTCACCTTAAAACGGGTTTATTCATTGATCCAATCATTCACCTTGCAAGGCGTGTGATATAAAGCAAAGAATAAATGAACGAATAAATTCATGTCCATTTTCCCACTTGGAAACAAAGAAGTTACATGCTGTTCAAGTACATGTGGCCAGTTTGCTGGTTATCTATGACTGTATAAGAAATCATCCTAAAACTTAGTTCCTATGAATCAGAAATTTGGGAAGGGCTCTGCTGTGCAGCATTGGCTTGCGACTTCTCATCCAGTTAGAAGGTGGCTGGAGCAGGAGCAGTGGAAGGTCTAAAGAAATGGAGGATTGACTAGTCATCTCTTATATTATATATGTGTAGATGATGATATATTAGATAGATAGATGGAGAGAAAGAGACATAGAAGATAGATAGGTAGATACACAGATAGAGATACCATAGAGATAGAGACATTGCTCTGGGCTCCTTTATGCAATCTCTACAGGTAGGCCAGTTGGGTTTCCTCGGAGCCTTAGGACAGACAGATGGCCTAACTGCCAGCATGGGGTTCCATTGCAAGTAGTCCAGCAAACAGGACAGAAGTTGCATTACTGTTTATCATTTAGCCTTGGAAATTAATGCAGCATCCCTCTGCCCTATCCTACTGGTTGAAACAGTTTCCAAAGCCCACCCAGACTGAAGCCCACCCTCCGGCCTTCCCTGAAATGCCTGGCAAGAACTTTACAGACGGGGATCCCCAGGTGTTTCATTTGGTTTTTCTGTGTTTAATTTGACGAATGCCATCATAGGAAGTGGCATCCTTGGCTTAGCTTATGTTATGGCTCATACTGGCATCCTTGGATTTAGTTTTTTGCTGTTGATAGTTGCTCTCCTGGCTTCTTACTCAGTTCACCTCCTGCTTAGTATGTGCATTCAGACAGCTTGCTTGGTCCATGAACTAACTTCTTCATGGTTCTTCATATACATTGACGCACCTGTCTTCCATTGAACTCCTTCAGTCATTGTAAAATCTCTATGGAACTATGACATCTTATGAAGATCTTGGACTCTTTGCATTTGGATTACCCGGAAAGGTGGCAGTAGCAGGCACCATCCTAATTCAGAATATTGGAGGTCTTGGTATCTCGATAGACAAACACTACTACTAATCATTTGTGTTGGCATTGTGTTCCCTCTTGCACTTCTTCCTAAAATAGGTAATGATTAAAAACTGGTCCATTCCTTGTCCTCTGTCATTAAATTATGTAGAGCAATACTTCCAGATTTCAAATGCTACAGATGATTGTAAACCAAAGCTCTTTCATTTCTCCAAAGAGAGTGTTTATGCCATACCTACCATGGCTTTTTCATTTCTCTGCCATACCTCAGTATTGCCAATATACTGTGAACTTCAAAGCCCTTCAAAGAAAAGAAGGCAAAATGTAACCCACACAGCAACTGCTTTAAGTTTTCTCATTTATTTTACATCTGCACTCTTTAGGTACCTCACTTTTTATGACAAAGTGGCGTCAGAATTACTGCAAGGTTATAGCATATACTTGCTCCGTGATGTTGTTGTCATGACTGTGAACTTATGCATACTATTTACTGTGCTTTTGACAGTCCCTCTAATCCACTTCCCTGTAAGGAAAGCTTTAATGATGATGTTTTTCTCCAACTTTCCATTCTCATGGATTCGCCATTCTCTGAGCACTCTAGCAGTCAATATTATCATTGTTTTACTTGCATTATATGTTCCTAACATTAAGAATGTATTTGGTATAGTTGGTTCTGGTACATCAACGTGTTTGATTTTTGTATTCCCAGGACTATTTTATCTTAAACTTAGCAAAGAGGATTTTCTCTCATGGAAAAAGCTTGGGGCTTTTATTTTGCTCATCTTTGGAAGTTTGGTTGGGAATTTTAGTTTAGCACTAATCATTTTTAATTGTATTAGTAAATGAAAGAAATATGAAAAAAAAAGCCCACCCAGTTTCAAGAAGAAGGAACATAGACGAATCTTTTGACAGGAGGAGCATCAAAATACTTGCAAACACATATTTAAACCATTGCAGCTTACTTTCTGACACAAATTATACAACCAAAATATATTTCCCCTTTCCCAAGACCCCTATAGTTTCATGACATTAAAGTACCAGACGTGAGGTTCAGATGTGATCATCTAAATCAGATCCAAGAGTGGATGGCATTCCTTGGGTACGGTTCCTTGGGTACGGTTTCTCTGTGTCGGAAGCCTTACGGAATAGAGCAGTAAGTTGTTTGGCCCACAGGCCTCGCAAACAATGATGGGACAGGCATAGGGTAACCATTGTGGGTACTCCCATCTATGAAGGGGGAAATTAGGAGTACATGAAAGTCTCTGGTCCATGGCGATCCTGAAGTCCAGAGGGGCACATGTTGCCAGTTTCTTGCTTAAGGCCCAGTCCTACTTCCAGAGAATGATTCTCTGTGGTTCTTGGCCTTGGCCCCTTGCTCTCAGTTTACCCCCTAAGTCATTTTTACTCTTTCAAAAAAATTAGCCCACATTAGCTCAAAGGAATGAAGGCCTCTTTCAATTTTGTCTTTGTCCTTTTTAGTTCAAGCTGATACGATCCCTTTAAAATTTTTGTGGGATTTTTGTATATTAATGTATAATCCACTCCATTAAGCAGAAGCTATAGAAATCTCTCTAAGGAAAGCCTTCTCTACCTTGGGCTTCTGTGAGGTTGCTATAGGAAAATTCCAATAAGATTCCTAAAAGTTCTATTGTTTAACAGAGGGGGTCTGTGAGATGTGCCCTTAAAATCCTTGAAAGATGTTTTGTCTGAGTGAAAGGATCTATGAGGCCCCACCTGACATCTTTCTGAGGTCTTAATAAAGGATATTACAGGACCATCATGGATTTGGCCTTTGCCCTGAAATTATTACTTAATTTGAGAGTTTTTTGCCATCTGGCTAGACTAGAAACAGTTTTATTTTCAAGCATAGAGAGTTGTGGCATCTTAATATGTCCTCCAAATTTCTAAAGAAAACTGAACAGTTGCATTTTTGGCTTGCCTCTCTATTTATCTGAGTACACCAATCTAAAAGACTTTTCAACATTTTTTTCAACATTCTGCCTGCAAATTTTCTTAGCCAGGTCCATCAGTTCATGTGGCACATTTTCTCTTTTCCACATGACTATAGGTGACAATTGCGCTAAACTTCCCATTGCCACCTAACAAAGGTCTTCTTTCCTCCCGTTTTCAATAGTTTTGCTCGCAACAGATCCCTTGAGGCCCATCAAGCTTCTGCTAACAATTTCTGCAAGTCTCTTATAGCATCTGCCCGCGGCCCAGACCCAAAGCTAATGCCACACATTTTAAGGTTTTGTTAGAGCAGAAACTCACTACAAGGTTTTAAAAACCTGCTCCATGAATCTACTGATGTGCAACAAATCTCCCAATACTTAATGTCTGAAAACAACAAACATTTTATCATCACTTACGGTTTTTGTGAGTCAAGAGCCTGGAAAGTGCTTCCCCGGGGAATCCTGCCTTGGGGTCTCTCGTGTGGCTGCCGTCAAATAGTGGCTGGAGCTGGAACAGTGGAGGGGTTGCAGCAAATCAGGAGGGTGAGGGGGTCAGTGGCCAGGCCTCTCTCTCCTTCCTCATATAGTCCCAGTGTTTCTCCATGAAGTCTCTTTACAGGAGCTAGCTAGTTGGGCTCCCTCACAGATGATACCTGGGGCTCCAGCCTGAGTATTCTGGCAAGCAAGGCAGGATCTGCATCACCTTCTCTGTCTTCCCTTCAGAAGTCCTACAGCATCACTTCCACCACATTCTGTTGGGCAAAATCATCAAAAATCCTGCTCAGTTTCAAAAGATAGAGCATCAACCCCAGCTCTTGATAGGAGGAATATTTTTTTAAAAACTGCAGGTGTATTTTCAAGCTGTCACCTCTATTAAGTATAAAGTGGCAACTGAATCACTTGTTTTCTATTACATTAAAGGAAATAGGTAGGTAGATTCATTCACTCATTCCATTATTCATTTATTCCTGCTCCCTAATCCTCTCTGTATATCCTGTTGGTGGACTGATCACATTGTCTTCAAATGACCTGCTTTTATATCTGTCTCTCCCCTTACACTGTTATATCCCTGTGGGTAGATGTTTTATTCATCTTTGTATCTCCATTATTTAGTGCAAAATCCGACTCATATAAGATGCTCAAATAATATATGCTGACTAAATGGATGAATAAATTAATAAATTGCAGTTTTACCTTGTTTACAAATATCGAAATGCAATATTTCCTATTAAGCAATGAATCATCAAAAACTGTTCCTGTTTCCTATTGCAGAAAATTCTGTTCCTAGTAAGAAAAGTCAATGGCACCATTCATGTTTATATTGGCTTTATTTTACAAGTGTGCATTTTTACATGATTTTTGTGCCACTTTCGGTATAGTCATTTACCTACACATAGATGGCAGAGAGGGTACACCTTGCCTCAGAATCCAAACAACTGAGACAGATATCAGAAATACTCGCGGGAGCAGGTTAACTGAATCCCAGCACAGCACTGGCTGCCCAACATGGGGAAAATGGCAAGGCCACAGACTGTTGAAACAGCAGCGGCAGGAGCAGAAGAAGCTATCATGGCAGAGGTATGGGCCTGGTGGGGAGAGTCACAGAGCTCTGCTATAATTCTGAGGATACATCCATCTCAAGGAGACTGAGCTAAGGAAGCCTCAGGGCTTAATAAATCTTTAAGCACAAAAATCAGATGAATAAGAAGCCAAGGTGGTGGGAAAGATATATATAGCTCCAAGACTCTTGACTGTTAGGAATAAGACAATATAGCAGAATATAAGGCTGGGTTCCTCCTCTTCAGAAGAAATTCAGGGGATGGAGGAAATGAGGAGGAAAGACACACTAATTATGCATGTTTGGGGCCTGTGTGGGGAAGGGATGTCAAGGAGGGACAAAAACAAGAAAGGAAATAGAAGAGGGCACTTAACACGATGAGCACCAGGTAATGAATGGAAGCGTTGAATCACTATATCATACACCTGAAACTAATATTACACCGTAAGTTCACTATACTGGAATTAAAATAAAATAAATAACTAAAAGACCAAGATAAAGATTTTAGCCGAAGAAGATGATGGAGGCAGGCAGATCACCTCCACACCCTCACCTAAATTCCAAGTTCCTCCCGTGATGAGGATTGGTTCTGGAAGCTGCCATATGGTCATCATCACTGAATGGGAAAGATCTGGCTACCAGTCACTGCAGCTCTAGAGCTTAAAGCCAAAATAGGGTGTTTTATTGTTGTTGTTGTTTTTAACTCTGTTATATAATGATCTATTAAAGCAGGTGGATCCATTTGGCTAGTCACTCATGTAACTGTTTGGCTCCGTCTATCAGCTCATCTGTTTGCCCCTGAATGATGGTATGAAACAACTGTTGAGGAACAACACTTACAGCAGAAGACATTTTCCACACTCCTCTTGCTAGCAGCAATAGGACCTTGTGTTTTCCCATGGGTTGTGTAAGTTCTGGGATTGGTTGGGTGAGCCCAGTAGGTTCATGGAGAAGGGTATTGAGAAGCTGAGAAAGAGCTAGAAGTGGTGAGAGATAAACAACTGTAAAATTAAAGTGCATTTTTTCACAAAAAATTCTTGTTTGTTGAGAATTGTCATTTGTTCCTCACCCTTAAAAAATCCACTTATTTTTCCCTATTCAAAAGTTATATGGAGAATTATCAAAATTATCAAAATAAATGGATTGCATTTATAACATTCTTTGGGAAAAACTGAACCTTATCTCAAAACACATCAAATGTTGATACCATGAAAACTAATTCTGTTTGCCATGAACGTGATTGAGGTGAGGTTAGCAGAGCTCCCCACGGTACTCTGAGATGGAGAAGTAACACAGGGCAGAGTCACTGGAGGACATCGTAATGACCTTAGCACTCACATCATTTGATTTCAGTCTCTGATCAAAATGGTGCCTTAATCAAGTTTCCTATTTTTTCCACCCTGTTACACAATGGTCCATTAAGGCAGGTGGATCAATTTGACCAGCCACCCATGCAACTATCTGAAAACAAAATTTACAGTTAATTTGCAGAAGTTGGCATCATGTAGACACAATGCCTGAGAGCCAGTTTGGAATTTACTGTACAACACCATTTCCCATACTATAAATCTTTTCCAGTGAACAAAGAAGAAAAAATATCAGGTCTTTAATTGCATTTAAATGAGAACCCTTTTTATTTCCTTATACACACTTCAATCAAAGAACCTAAAGGCACTAATGCCAAGTGAGTTATTTTATGCTTGCATGTGCAAGCAACTCAGTTTTTTCCTACATTTTGGAACGAGAACTTTGAAACACTTCTAAGCTTCACCATATATTTAGTCGAGATGTGCCAGACAACCGCAGAGATGGAGTTATTTTCTTGGCCAACACAGGATGGATGGCATGTGATTCACTATACCTTTTACTGTAGCAACAAGCTGCAGGGACTAAAACAAGGTGGGAATACTAAATTTATGAGAAAATGATGCTAGAGCTCAGCATATCCGGAATTTGATAATTATGAGTTGGAAAGCAATCAAGTTCTAGTATTTTGAACCATAAAAGCAAAATAAGTTTAAAAGTAGGATTTTAGGAGTGCCTAGGTGGCTCAGTCGTTATGTGTCTGCCTTTGACTCAGGTCATGATCCCAGGGTCCTGCGATCGAGCCCCACATCAGGCTCCCTGCTCCGCAGGAGGCCTGCTTCTCCCTCTCCCACTCCCCTGCTTGTGTTCCCTCTCTCACTGTGTTTCTCTCTGTCGAATAAATAAATAAAATCTTTTAAAAAATAATAAAATAAAAGTAGGCTTTTAAATTTTATGTCTCAGTAAGTTTCCCACCAAGAATAATACTTAGACAATGAATGTACATATATACCATTCAAAATAAAAAGGGTTAGATTTCAAAATAACCATGAGATATTTTTTCATCAAAATCAAAAAAAGAATGGCAATAATAAGCTGAAGAGGTACTCATATATTTCTGGCAGCATGGCATATTGGCAAAACCATTTTTGAAGGTATTAAGTATCGTGATCCATTAAAGTATTTGTACTCTTTGGCCCAAATTTTACAATTTGAATAATTAATCATAAGAAATAATGTTTAAATATATGGAAGAAGATGCTTTCAACAATATTATTTATAGTAATGAGAATTGGAAACTATTTAAATGTCCCAAAATTAAGGGAAAATTACATAATTTGGGACACAGCCAGCAATGTGGAAATGGTTAAGTAAACTGTTCTACTGTTTGGGCAATAAAAGCAAAGGCATATTTTTCCTCTTTGGTAAGCTCCAAACTTGCTATAAGGTGGTTATGACATAGTTACATCTTTTAAATAATTTTTTAAAGTCCTACAGATCTCACCAATGCACTGGAGTGTCATGAGAGTTTCAACAGTGAGGGAAATTTACAAATAACTAAAGAGTAACCCCACCCATACCTCTTGACACTTCGATTTCTTTAGCAGTCAATGTGTTTCTCAATATGAGGGCAGCCATTTGAACAGAATTCAGTAAAATAGCTCTCATACAGTTTGTCAAATAATTATACTTACTGCATGCTTGCCACCATATCAGGCATGAGGAAGAAAGAAGGATGAAATGTCCCAGCCCTTCAATGGCTGCTGACAAATAATCACAGAAAAGGAACAAGCCCTGAGAACGAGCATGCCCCTGGGGTACTGTGGGTGCACAAGGCGGCTGGATGAGGCAAAAGGGGATGAATAGTCTCTCTCTGTGTGGTTTCCCCAAAGGCATTACTTCTGAGCTGACACTGGAAGGACAAGCACCGTTTCCTCAGGCAAGCAAGCTGAGAAAGGACATTCCAGACAGCGACCACCAAGCAAAGACAGAAGAGCAAGAAAACCACAGCAGATTCAAGGAGTTGCAACTACTTTGACAGTTGGAGGGGGCATGAGGACGTGAGGTTGGGATGTCAGGAGGAAATCACATCATAAAGAACCTTGCGTATGGTGTCATTGCAAAGAGCTTGGGCTTCAGCTAAGGACTCAGATAGTTTGGGTCTTTCAAATCTTTCTATTTTAATTACAATTATAAGAAAACTCAAACAATAAGGTTTGATGCATAAAACTGTGATGCATATTATACTTTCAAATTCGGTTTTTTCAATGAGAACGATGGAGTTTTGATAAAGTGTAAATATAAATACAAACACAAAAATATAAGTACAAAATTTGAAGCTGGGGTTTGTGGATAATAGTTGCAATCAGATAGCAGCCTCAGCACCCAAATTATTTCTGTATTTTATTTTGATTGTGTGGAATCAAAAAAAAATCCCAATTCAAAAAGCTAAGAAGGTTCACATTGTAGCAAGGTTTGGGGTTTGATTTGATTTGGGGTGCCCCAATTTTTCATATGCAATCTCAGCCTGCTCCTGAGATAAAAGGAAGCTAAAAGCATCATATAAATTTTGTTTCAAATTTGAGTCACTAATGTATTGACAAGTAAGTCCTATACGTATCACAAATACAGATCTAAAGATTACATTCTGCTTACTTGCAATGGGAGATTAAAGGGGCTTATGTTATAATTTCCCTTTTAAGCTATCCCTTTTAAACTGTGTGTGTGTGTGTGTGTGTGTGTGTGTGTGGTGTGTATGTGTGTGGGGTGTGTATGTGTGGGGAGGGTGTGTGTGGTGTGTGTGTTCAGATGGCATAGTCTAGAGGAGAATGACTTCCATCACCTTCATCTCTCTGACTTGACACCACTGAAAGTGAGCAACAGCCTTTCAAGTAGATTTGCTCTTCGAGCAGGTAGAGGAGAGGGAGAAGGGGTAGGGGAGGAGAGGAGAGGAGGGCGGGAGGAGAGGGACTCTTCCTTACAGTGGAATGTCAGTTAATAAAAGTGAAGGGCAGAGGGAAGGGGGAAAATCATCATTTTTGTAACCATCATAGTAGAGACTAATTTAAACAAAAATCATCAATGGATGCTTAATTTATATGAGAAAATTTGGTACGGTGCCAGATCAGTATTTGTTCTCAAAGTGTCTTCCCGGGGAATGCTTACTAATTGCAAGAGAAACATAGTAACTTTGCAGTCAGTGAAGAAACTGGACAATATCATGACCAGATGACCAAAATTAACGTCAAATGCCTCTGGATGGGATGCCCTGAGAAAGACACAGCATCCATTTTTAGTATTCATGCAGGAATTGTCCAACTGAATCTAATCAAGACAAAGTATCATAAAACTCACATTGAGAAACACTTTATAAAACTAATGGCCTATAATCCTTTAAAAAATGCCAATGTCATAAAAGACAAAGAAAAGCCAAGAAACAATTCCAAATTAACAAACTAAAGAAACATGACCCAAGAAAATGCAATACACGGTCCTGTACTGTGTCCTGTACTGGAGAAAAAAAGATTCTGTAAAAGACATTACTGAGACAGTTGATTAATTTGGCAAATGGAATATAGATTAGATAACGTATTATGATTCCATAAGAGAATATCCTTGATCCTAAGAATTACACATTGAAGTATTAAGGAGTAAGAGAGCAGGGTATAAAAACCAATTCTCAAATGACTCCAAAAAAACGACCACAGGTGGGTGTGTGTGCATGTGTGTGTGTGTGCACGCTCGTGTGTGCTGAAAGTTAACAGGTACAGACAAAAATTGATAAACCAAACACTATTATAATTATAGAACCCAATTATGATTATTATATTACTTATATAGAACCCTATTAGTAAATTATTTATATATTATTATTTATATAGAACCCGATTACTAAAAGAAATTGAAGAGCTAAAGGTGTTTTTTAAGATTTTATTCATTTATTTGTCAGAGAGACAGAGAGAGAGCACAAGCAGGGGGAGCAGCAGGCAGAGGGAGAAGCAGGCTCCCTGCCGAGCAGGGGCCCCAATGCGGGGTTCGATTCCAGGATCCTGGGATCATGACCTGAGCTGAAGACAAATGCTTAACTGACTGAGCCACCCAGGGGTCCCAAGCTAAAAGAGTTTAAAGTGGTTTTCTGTAAGGACCAGAACTGGGAAGGGAAGGAGTAAGGAAAGGATTTAGTGCCTTTCCGTATCATTTGGCTTTTTAACCATTTAACAAAAACTGAAGAATTTAAAGAAAATGACAATGACTGCTCTAAGTATTGAGACCAGAGGGACTACAAGCCAGGGAAAGATGTGACGGCCTGTGTTTTAGGAATAAACCCCTGGGGGCGTCTGGAGAGTGGATCAGGAGCTGAGGGAGAACAAAAGCTTTCACGACTATTCTTTACCTTTGTGTTGTACTTTGTAGTATTCTTTCACTCCATGATCTAATCTGAATTCTCACAATTTAAAAAGGCAATAATTAAACATCAGGTTTCAGAGGAAATGAGCATGTGAGTGAGAGGCATCGCGCAAACCCGACCCCCACTTAAAATCCACAATAAAAACAGCAACAGTCTGCAGCTGCCAGGAAGCTCCAGGGCACTTCGTGTTTCGTGGGAGGATCGGCAGCGATCTACATTTTAAATGGATCTGTTCTGTCTTCTTCCCCCAAGTCTCTTGAGACTTTATTCTTATTAGAAAATCTTCCTGCAGGGCGCCCGGGTGGCTCAGTTGGTTAAGCGACTGCCTTCGGCTCAGGTCATGATCCTGGAGTCTGGGGATCGAGTCCCGCATCGGGCTCCCTGCTCAGCAGGGAGTCTGCTTCTCCCTCTGACCCTCTTCCCTCTCGTTCTCTCTCTCTCTCAAATAAATAAATAAAATCTTTAAAAAAAAAAAAAAAAGAAAATCTTCCTGCAGTACCCAAATGCCAGTCGTTGTCCCATCTTTGTCTTTCAGCTACCATATTCCAATGCCCCCGCCTCCCCCACTCTCACCCCGAAAAGGAACAAATGGTTGGTTAATAATGGCTTTGGACAGAGTTGTTCTCTATTCCCCCAGGATCTTTTTTAATCCTTTCCAATTTACCACCCTGTCCACAGAAAAAGAAGCAGTTTCCCCAAACCAGGATGTTCCTCCCGCTCAGGCTACATCAGCTCCACCCACCCACCCTCCTCCCCAGGAAGAAAGCAAAGTCCCGGTTATGATCTTGAACCTTCCGTCTGGCCTTGGGCTAGCGCTTTACCTGCGTGGTTTTAGCTAGGTTTCCTACAGTCCTATGGAGTAGGTATTACTGTTCTCTGCACTTAGGCACGAAGAAAATAAAGCTAAGAAGGATATGGTAGCTCGCTAAGGGCACACGGCTAGTTGGTAGCAAAGCTAGGGTTCAAAGGCAGGGTGTGTAACTCCAAAAGTTTATGCTTATGCATTGTGGTAAAGGCGGCATTATTCCTGGGTGTCTTCCAGGCCACATGTCCTTCATTCCTTTAGCTTTCACTTAAGGTTGAGTAGAGAAGAGAGTCTTTGTGAAGCAATAGAATACACCTGGTTTAAACAGGCTTTGCTTCTTGTTAAACCAGAGAGGGGTAATGGAGTTGTCTTATCTTAGCAGTTGCTTAAATGTACAGATTCAATTCCTGGGTTTTAACTAGTGTATAAAGACAGGCCTATTCCTGAAATGCTACGATATGAAGCATCTGAGTCAGATTATACCAGAGCATGTGCTGGGCTATTTTTAGAACAAGGCTGTATATAGGACATAGTTTTCTGGTTATGTCACAATCTTGCAGGTGTGCTTTCTATTCACATTTTGGACAAAAATAGATGCATACATGGGTGATAAAAAGATAAATGCAACTCAGTTTCTGCCCTTGAAGAGTTCCAAGCCTGGTTACAGGGACAGAGAAAGTAGAAATCAAGCAAAAGAATGTAAAAAAAAAAAAAAAAAGTGAGAGAGGTAGAGGAGCAGAGATAGTAGCAAATGAAGACCCCTGAACAGCCTGCATCATTTGTGCAACGAACTCAATTAGGTGCCAGGCACTGGGAAGACCAAGATGCCCAAATAGACACAGTCCCTGCTCTCAGCACAGGTCCACCCCCCTGGGAGGCAAGCGGACCGGGTCAGACTGCCGCACCAGAGCAGAGCTACACACTGAGAGGTGCTCCGAAGGAAGGCAGGCAGTGACTGCATCGGAGCGGATAAGCTTCCCTGACTCGGAAGCCTTCCTCTGAGGGGGTGATTCTGGAGCTGAGTGGTGAGGAAAGAGTTAAGAGGAGGCCTTACCTTAAGGAGAGGAAGGGGGCGGAGAGCATTACAGAGGAGGCAATCACAGGCCAAGGGCCTGTTTTAAGAGAAATCAGAGCCTTTCCAACACATTGGAAAAACCCATTGACAAGTGCAGCGAGCAAGAGGGAGGAGGTACCAGTGATGCGGGAAGCAGGAAAATGAATCAAGGGAAACCTTACTAGGATGGAGTCGCAAGGTGAGGCAGTGCACTTCTCCTGCCCTACCACTGGTGGTCAACTGCAAAGCCAACAGGAAAAGACAGGACCGTGGATTGCACGTTACTACCAGAGCAGGAGGAAGAAAGGCTTTGCTCCCAGCTTGGCAACAGCCCAGCCAATGAGAGACAGTCACAACCCAGCCAATGAAAAGCCACTATACTTCCAGCTCCCAGTTTACTCCAATGGGCTTTTCGTTTATAACGGCTTTCCCAGCGTCCCCCTTTCCTCTGGAAAAGAGCATTACCTTCCCTCCTTCGGCAGAGTTGTCTGTATCCCAGGTTGTACTCGGCAATTCCGGAGTAAACCTGTTGTTGCTGGTAAAACAACCGGCAGTATTATTTTTAAGGCTAACAAAGCCTACGAGGGCCAGCCGCTGCAGGACCTGACCAACGAAGGTAAGGCTATGGGTGGGGAGCTGTAATGGTCTATAAGACGCTTCACGTCTCCATTTACCACTTGGGTACCCTACCCCTTAGGCAGCTGCCTTTCGGTAGCCAAGTACTGTCAGAGCACTGTAATTATCAGACGCCTCACGGAAGCTTAGTCTCTT